GACCCTACAAATTCTATTCCCGTTGGTCTGCCAAGGACAGGCAGTAAGCTTTACTCTAGGCCTTTATACTACAAATTTAGGGAAAGGCTAGAACACAATCTTTCAGCAGAGCAGGTCAGTTTTAGAGCAAGTTGATCCACCACTGATCAGTGCCTTCTTCTCCAACCCTTGAGAAATATGTTACAAGCACCATAGTTTCCTCAAATGCAGATTTTAGAAACCACGTCAGCACTGTATTTTATTTCCTAAGTTGCATTATGGGAAAAGTTAAAAGCCTCCACAATTGATCATCACTTGCTATTATGCATTTTACCCCACTTGCCCCTATCGCAGCATTTACCAAGAGGGCAAGGAGTGTAGAATGAAAGCAGCATGGCATCATTGCAACGCAGACCCTGCTCCTTTCGTACATATGCCGTGATGTTGCACACATGTATGAAAAGGGCGGAGCTTGCAGCATAACAGTGCAACACTGCTTTGGCAAAAGCAGCAAGCTCCTACAGATGCCCATGTGTCAATATATCCTTGAAAATCAGATGCAATCCTCATTTATCTACTGCCATTTTAACTTATAAAAGTTACCCTAGGAAAGTACTTGACCTTATCAAATGCTGATGCTACTGAGGGGAGGGTCCTTCAGTGTCCCTGATTCTGGAAAGGGCTTTGCTAAATGATCAGAGACAGATTTTCTGTGCTTGCTTCAGCAGCTCATATACTAAAATTAGAAACAGGTTTCTAATACACATCTCGTCAGAGTATGGACTGTGCAATCCAATCTGAGAAACAAGTACAGAATATTTAGGCACTGTGTATGTTTGCAGCTGTGAGACATGCGGTCATCTGAATCTTCAAAGAATTTTGTTGGCTCTGCATCATCACTTACATCACTACCACTGGACCTTTCCCCTCCGGGGTTTGACTTGCCAGTGGAGAAAAAAGCAAGGAAGGTTTGACTATACTGTGCATGTATTGAGTCTGGAAAAGCAACATTTGGCTGTGAAGTTGCTAACCCAGACCATGAGTAGTTTTAAGTATCCTAAATCTCAGACCTTGAGGCTGGAAAGAAGTAGCGTAACAATTAAAATATAGCACATCTAAAAGCTTGGGACTGGAATCTGAGAACAAACTTGTGCCAAACTTAAGAAAACTCTTTGTTTCACCTGCAGCATTCTCTTGGGATCGCCTTCTGTGGGCTGCATGCCACAGGCAGCCTTCCTACTGTCCTTTCCTCCCCACCCAGTGGGCTGCTGAGGAGACCAAGATCACTTGGTCAGAAGTCTGAAGTTGCAAAGTTTTTGAAATACAGTTCGGAGACCTAATCGTGAAAGAGGTCAAGGGTAGTGAACTTTTGAGGAACAAGCCTGAATAAAAATCAATTCCTTTCCTGAGGAATGCAGGTACTATTCCCTAGGGTTATCAGGTAATCACCCCAAGATTCAGGTATGGAGATAAACCCTAAAGCTCAAACCCTAAGAACTGGTTTCTTTCTCATGAAACCAAACCAGAGTTTAGCACTCACTTTTTGATGGTGCAGGCATCAGGGCAGGTCGGGCACTTCTCACAGGTGTCTCCGAAAGAGCCAGGCTGAGTACAGACGCATTTCCCACAGGCGCAGTATCCACGCCCTTGCCCACTGCACACCAGCCCATTGCTAGACATGCAGGTGTCAGTCCGGGTTGTACAGTTGCAATATGCTCCAGTCCAGTCAGGGTTGCACACACAGTCTCCACAGACACATTTCCCATGTCCTACAGGCCAACAAGAATAAGAAAATGGGAATCTCTATTTTAGCATCAAAGGAACCAATCCCCTTCTACCTTTCCAACCCCCCTCCCCAAATGCATGGAAACCAAGTACATAATAAGCCAACATACTTTGTGGAGACCACTGGCTGATTTTAGGGAACCAGCTCTTATTTTCTGACCATCTTCTGCCATACAGATATTAATAACCAGAGATGCAAATATGTCACATTTTGCTGGAGTATATAAAAAGCTCAGACTATGATAATGCTTAAAATCTACTTTCGTTGGACTATTTGTAAAAGTTTCTTATTTTTATTACTTTATGATAGACAATTTCCCCCCATCTTCTCCAAAGAGCTCAAGGCTTCTGCCAAAGATTAGCTTCAAAGTACTGTATGTGGGGTTCCCTTCCAAAGTTCACAGCAGGACTAAACAAATTTCCCAGTGATGGGGAGAAGGATTTCTGTGACTTTGCCAACTCCTCTTCCATTCATTTTACACATATGGACAGAGCTGGGTCATATCCCAGGATACAGTATGTTTGTGTATGTGTGCATGATTAATGGAAAATCAAAAATACAAAAAGGTTGAAAAGCCAGATCACTCATGTGTGAAGGGGGAACCTTTTTGCCTATCTCGTTTGAGATATGCCAGATCACCATATTGTTGACTCTGTCAACTTCCACCCACCCGTAACTTCGGTAATGATACAACAGAATCATTTGTTTTAACAGCTCTGATATCACTCCAGAAAGGATGAGATAAAACCATGATTAAGTTAACAATTTTAAATAGTGCAAAAATGTGTCTCTAGGACAATGTTTCTCAACCTTAGCAACTTTAAGATGTGTGGACTTCAACTCCCAGAATTCCCCAGCCAGCCATCTTAAGTTGCTGAGGTTGAGTAACACTGCTCTACAATAAGGAAAGCTAAAGGCAACAAAGGGTACATTCTTAATAGTTTACTTCAGTGCTGCCAAATATTAGGGCCTGCCCTTGCATACACTTTAATTCTTGTTTAGCTGTGCATTGACCCTTTGAAACTACTGAAGCAGTGAAGTCATTAGAGTTGGAACATACTACAGTATGCTATAATGGGAGGAAAGGTTAGAAGCCTCTATGAAAAGCTGCCACAAAAATAACCAGAGAAAGTATTTTTTCTGCATTATTGGCCTCCCTTCCAATACAAACTCCTGAAGAAAGAGAGAGAGAGAGAGAGAGAGAGAGAGAGAGACGCGGCAGCCCCCTCTGCAGAGGACAATTGATAACAAAGACTGGTTAATGAGAAATTCCAGTGAATCATGGGGGAAAGAGAGCTGAAGGAGCAGCTGGCTGGAAAAAAATCTCTAGCAACACCAGGAAAATATATACAGTATTAGGGAACTGGTTGTGAGTTTGTCACACACCTAAGAAATAATTACTTGTATGGAATAAACCAGGAGGCAATAACTTTATCAAAAGATATTCTCAGAATTAGATTTGCAAGCCGTCACTGGACTTGCTCTCATACACAATATTAACTAAAGCCCTCTGTCACAAAGAAATGTAATATGGCAGGGGAAGTCTTTTCCCAAGCTCCATGCTAGGAACATCTTCATCTGGATGTCACATTGCTCTTAGAAGTGTGCAGTAAGAGCAGGGCCACTAAGGAGATATGGCAAACCTATTCAGAATCCACATTCATTTTTTTGCCATATTTCTATGGCAACCGGTGCCCCTCAGCATCTTTCTCAGAGCAAATTAGAAATGGTGGTGTGGCACTGTAGCACTCAGGAAGGATTTGGGGGGAAAGCAAGGACCTTCCTTCCTTTCGTAGTCCCAAGTTGCAACCCTGAGATTACTGGGTAAAAAACTGTGGCCTCCTGTTGTGTCCAGGTCATTTATTATTAAACAGAAGAAGCCATGGCTGCATGTTTCTCAATTCAGTGGAAAGTTTAGGACCAGAGACTTTGCAGCGCAGACCAATTCTAACTGTTCTGATAGCCACTGAACAGGCTTAACGGAACAATAATGGTACAATAAGTTTCTAAAGAAAGCACAGTGACTAAGTTGTGTGATAAGTACCTAGCCAGCTTGTTTTATCAATGTTTGAAAAACATCCTGAAATCGCACACTGCACAATAGTTGTATTTTACACCACATACAGAAACTTCCATGGTATGGAATGAGTTGTTGTTCTGGACAACAAACATTTTCAGTTCCTCCACTTCTCAGAATCAAATCACAGCAATTGTTTCCTTTAACACTGAGTCACACACACAGTCATGAGTTCCATACAGAGAGCGGCCCCTAACAATTCGCTCCTCCTTTGTGAAACCAGATTGAATCCTATCTGGATCACCAAGTTAACAGTTGTATTGTAGGAAGCAATGCTTAACTGTTATTTTTTCCTAAGTGGCAAGTTTTAGCTTGCTTTTTGACACATTCACACAAACACAAATGCTTTTTGTAACTCATACTATACCAAGGTTGTGATTTAATTCTTTTTTAAGGAGCAAATTTTTCATTTCTTGCTTGAACAGTTTTGGGTGAAGCACAAGCTTGATATTTCATGAAAAATTATATGTGTATATAGTTATTCCAAATTGCTCTGGCAAAACATAAATCACTTTGCATCTGTCTGCTTAAAAACCCAATGGTCATTGAATATCTGAGTTAATTTTTCAGCCAGAAGGACAATGAATAATCTGTAATAATTTATATTCCTGCTCTTACTCACAGCCTAGAAAAAATCGGAGAAATAAAAAGAACACTTTCTCTTATTTTTCAAACCATATATGATTATGCCATAAAACACCTGAAATATACCCCAGAAATGAGGAACCCTTGGCTCTCCAAATGTTGCTGAATTATCTCTCTCAGCAGCTGTTATCAGCTGGTTATGCTGGCTGTTGAGAATGCTGTGACAGGTAGTTGTCCCTTAATAAAAATGTATGGACCTATGTATTGGAGAGGTGTACCAAATATTAAAAATGTCTTTCCCCTACATACATGCGTGTGATGGCATGATGTGCGTACAAAAGGCATGGAGGTTGCATTGTGATAGAGAAACATGGTTTTTGTTATTTGCCCCCTTTTGACCTCCTTGCCTCTGGTCCTGGCTACATTTATTGCTTCTAAAGCGTATCTCTAAAGAACAGGCCACATTTTTGCAGATGTTTTGAGAACACTCTAGCTTCACATAGTATACAGATGTGCATGTTTGTCTCAGTGTCCGTTCTAATCAAATGGGCTTTACAGTCCTTCCTTCCTTCCTTCCTTCCTTCCTTCCTTCCTTCCTTCCTTCCTTCCTTCCTTCCTCTCCTAAAACCTGCCTGTTTGAATGGATGTGAGAAGGAAAAAAAAGGGGGGGGGAGAAAAGAGTAAGATGGAACTACACCAGTGTTTTTCAACCTTGGCCATTTGACGATGTGTGAACTTCAACTCCCAGAATTCCCCAGCCAGCCATGAAGTCCACACATCTTCAAGTGGCCAAGGTTGAGAAACAATGAACTACACATTAGAAAGAAGGGTGGAAGTCATGATATTTTCTCTTCTCTTCTCTTCTCTTCTCTTCTCTTCTCTTCTCTTCTCTTCTCTTCTCTTCTCTTCTCTTCTCTTCTCTTCTCTTCTCTTCTCTTCATTTTCTTTTTCTTATCTTTCCTTTAATTTTCTATACTTTTATGGTATTTAAACATTCTAATTAAAAAAAGAAAAGAAATGGAGGTGGAGGTGGAGGGGGGAGTTGCACACTGGGAATAATCATTCCTCTCTGCAGGTATGTCCAGCTCTTAAAAGACCATCCCAACCCCTCAGGCTGACACCACTCACCTGAACACAGCTTCCCTTTGAAGCGGACGCAGGAGAAGTCGTCGCATTCACAGTATTTGCCCGATATCTTGCCAAAGTCGCTGCTATAGCAAACACATTGGCCGCAGATGCATTCTCCCCTCTGGTTGCAAAGCGGTTGCCCCTGACTGGGGCTGCAGTTATCCTGCTGGGACGGGCCATATTCTTCCTCGGAGCACTCGCAGTGAGAGCCCAGCCGGCCTGGGTGGCAGCGGCACATCCCGCATTCAAAAGTGCCATTCCCATTGTTACAGATCTTGCTGTAAGGTTCAGCATTATCTTGGCAAGCACAGTCACAGTCAAAGTTCAACTGAACGGTCAGGCTGTCTTCAAAGCCCACAGGCTTGATGGTGAACGTCTTCGGGTCCTTGAGGCAACCACGGACCTTTGCTTCAATGCTGAAGCTTACCTGGGAAGAGGGTTTAGGAGGAAGAACTACTCAGATTCCCTGTCAAGGGAACATCCTAAATATGTCCCATTCAGTTTTGATGTACACACACCCAGAGAGGAAAAAAAGAAAACCAATCAGAATACAGTATGGTTCTTTCTTTGTATAGTTACTGGTTGCGAAATCAGCATGGGGATACGCTTCATAGTTTCCTTGTAACACTAGTGCATCTACAGCAGGCAATAGCACGTATCAGCCTTGGCTGAGCTGTACAGGGTTAAACCTGGGTAGTATTTGGATGAGAGGCCACTAAGAAATCCAGGGCTGTAGGCTGGACAGTGACGTACAAAAAAACCAACAATAAATCCTAGAAGAAGGCAACGAGAAACCAATTCCACACTATTGCCAAGCAAATTGTATAGATATCTTCATACATTTGACTAAAGGGGAAGATATACTCCTCCATTTCAGGAGGAAAATTTGAGGAGGAAAAGAAAATGTTCAACTGATGCTCATCTCCATATTCCTTCCTCAAACCATTTTCAACTGCTTGTTTTTTTTCTTTCCTGAATTAGGGTCCAGGATCATAAACAAGTCAGGCTGAGATGGTGAAAAAACTATCTTTGCAAAGGGTCATGTAGTGGACAGCAAAAAAAAAAAAAAAGTTAAGTATTTCTATTCCTGTAGTAACCACTGATTGCTGGATTTGTTCCCATTCCTATAGCAATTAGGAAATAAGTGTGTGCTGGGTAATATGAAATCTTGGTTTTTCTTCTGCTATAGCCACCTTCTGCTCTTGCCATCCTCATCTAGCACAGTTCAGACAGAGACAATGTACAGAATTTCTGAATGTGCAGAAATGCATTTTCCCTTTACTGTCTACCCACAGCAATCTTTTTCGCTTGCCTTGTGTCTCACTGGTCTCCCAAAGGAGAAGCCACAGAGAGGAGAGGCTAAGATGCTACAGACGCAAGCGAATGTCTTCTTCTCTAGCATAACTCAACTTCTCCAACAGGAAGAATCTTCTTAAAATGTGCATTCCCTCTGAGAAGAGGAGACAATATGCCTAGGAATTTAAGGTACACGTAGCCCATGCAAACAACAAATGCTGATTCATTTTCGCTTTGAGTCTGAGTAGGGGTTATTCTGCAGAGAGAGATTCCATTTTCCCAAAGTCAGGGGTCGTCTACCTAAAAAATGCCAATTCATCCAAACTAAAGCAAGGCAAAAGCCAATCCTAAAGTACTGTTTTATGCAGGAGGGCCATCCTATCACTGCCATGCTATGGGTACAGCAAGATGGCTTTGTTAAAGCGCTCTCTGCAAGTCCTAAAGCTGGCAGGAAAATATGGTGGTGCTAAATTTGTTGTCACAATTGCCTAGCACTATTGTGCTGATGAACAGGACTATCCTTACTGTTTTACTGTGGGGCAAGCTAGAGAAAGCATTTGGTGGATCCAATGGCTTCCTTTCCCATCCCTCCAAGCATCATCTGCTGGTGGGAAAAAGTAGGATTAGGGAGGAGTGAAAGCCAATGTCTTGAAGAAACATTACATAAAAATGGTTCCTGGGCCTGCATTTTATGCTGCAGTTAGGAGCATGTGCGGATGAGCCCCCTACCCATAAACATACAAAGTATGTTTTGAACTGCCCAGATTTGAGGTTTGTTTTGTGCACAACTTTTTCAGAAATAACTGTATTGTGGATCTCATTGTGCTCCTCTCAAATCTCACAACTCGGGTTGAAAAAAGTTGCCTTATGTGTCTCTTTGCAAAACTTCAGAAATTTCAAATTGCTATTGGGTTCTTTACCAATAGGATGTTCATAAAGAAAGAAGGAAACAGGTTTATTGTAACTGTTATAGTAAAAAAAAATGTACTGTCCTATAATTGGGGTCTTTTTATACATGATTCCTTGGCACTTATTTCTATGTTTTGCTTCTCCCTTGTGGTTGGCCACTTTGTGTGACTGCAAGTATTGGGCTGGTGCTCCTTGTTATAACAGTACATTATAGCAGTGTTGTCCAAACTTGGCCACTTTAAGATGAGTGGACTTCAACTCCCAGAA